CATGCCTACTACCAAGTTCAGGCCCAAATCTTTATCTGTGAGGTTGAATATTGTGATTTTGTGGTGTGAACAACAATAGATCTCTTTGTGCAGAAATTCTTCCTGACCAAGAGTTTTGGGAAAATGCACGCTCTGTTTCCTCTGATTTCTTAAGCAAGTGCATTTTTCCTGAAATTGTAGGGAAGTAATATACATGTCCAGGGTGTGAAGCTCCAGCCATTCCATCTTCATCAACATCATCTGGTGATGAAGAAGTGGAAGGGCTGTGGTGCTATTGTCAACAAGATTTGGAGGGCAGCACATTAATTGGCGTATGCGCCAAGTCTGAAAAAATTTTATTACAAAAGAAACATACAGCCTTGAAAGCTCAGTTAAACAATCACTTTTCAATTGCTTGCTTGTTCATACCTGTAACACAACCAAATTCAAAACAACCAAAGACAACACAGAGTTGTGGCATGAGAAGAGGGAAACTAAAACTGTAAAAGATCATACCGGCTTCCGCAAAGCACGTGGGCAGTGTAGTATCCAACAAAAAAAAATTACCGTTCACACAAAATAAAGGTATTACAATCCAAACTACAGCACAATTCTTAAAATAATCTACATTGGCATACCTAAGTACAAGTATTGACAGCTATTTAGAATGCATGACATTGACAAGTATATGCTTAACACCTTCAACTTACACTTTAGACAGCTATGTTACAGGGATTGTAACGCGCGCGGTTATCCCCCAACATGGCTGACCCCGGTTTTTTAATTTATGCCGACGTCACGTGCAAACAAAGAATTATGGAGTTTAAATACATCGGAGGAAAGTTTGTACGGTCAGGGATAGAAGGCTTGTATGCACCAGTTTTAACCTTTGTTAGGGGAGAAGGCAACAAGAGACAGTACATCAGCAGAACTTTTTAGTTTTATTTAATATGTCATGTGCAAAATAAATTTTGTTTTGTTTATGTTTGCATAGTCGACACTGCTAATTTCAAAGGACATAATTTGTTAAATTACTCAATGAGGTAAAAGTATAGTTTCACTGTTATATTTTCTAAATGAACAATGCCACTGACGGTAGTGGAG